AAACATGGAGCTCTAGGATCAGTTTCATTAATTGACCACTTTTACGGATGTTCCGGATCTTCCGGTGAACCATCCCGTGGTCCCCAGGGCCCATATTCCGGTCACAACTCCAAATTCATTCTGATAAGACGTTTATGCGTGGTTTCGAAAAAAAAACGCGGAGCTCTAGGATCAGTTTCATGAATTGACCACTTTTCAGGATGTTCCGGATCTTCCGGTGAACCATCCCGTGGTCCCAAGAGTCGATATTCCGAAAACAACTCCGAATTTATTGTGATAAGACGTCTATGAGTGGTTTCAAAAAATCCGCGGAGCTCTAGGATCAGTTTCATGAATTGATCGCTTTTACGGATGTTCCGGACATTATAGTGGATCATTCTGTAGTCCCCAGGGTAAATTTTTCGGTCATATCAAGACCAACAATTGAAATGGCCTTAACTCCATTTAGTAAACAAACCTTGTAAGCAGGCATGGAAAATCATTTACATTCATTTCATGCATTCATTTACATTCATTTGTCTTTAACTTTTTTCATCAACAGCATTCCGCAAAATGATGTGAAGAGCTTTAGTAGGTTTTGTTATTAGCTACAACTTTTTCCCATATCTGTGTCTCTTATGCATCACGAATTAGAGCGGGCAGAACTCGTTACTGTTTTTCAGTGAATGTAAAAACATTCACTCAAAAACAGTAGTGGATTCTGTTTGCTCTGGTTCATCATGCATAAGAGATGCGGATTTGAGTTGTTTACAAAAGTAGTAGCTTATAACAAAACCTACAAAAGCTCCATTCATTATTTTGCGGAATTCTGTTGATGAAAAAAGTTAGGGGCAAATGAATGTAAATGAATGCACGAAATGAATGCAAATGATTTTCCATGCCTGCTTGTAAGGCCATTTTCTCGCGAACCGAAGTCCGCAAAGGCAAACCAACATAATGAACAGGTTGGAGAAATTCTCCTCTACCCCTCTGTGGTTTAGGTTTGCGAATGAAGGTTTCGGTCCGCGAGAAAATGGCCTTACAAGGTTTGTTTACAAAATGGAGTTAAGGCCATATCAATTGTTGGTCTTGATATCTCCAAATTCATTCTGTTAAGACGTATATGAGTGGTTTCGAAAAATCCGCGGAGCCCTAGGATCAGTTTCATGAATTGGCCACTTTTACGGACATTCCGGATCTTCCACAGGATCAGACAGTCATATTTTTATGCAAAAAACTGCCATAACTCTTCAAACAAAGAAGATAGTATCTTAATTGCTTCGGCAAAAATGTGCGCCATCAAAAGTTCTAAAAGTTTCTAGAACAAAGTTTTTGGGAGAAATCAATGTATGAAAAGATAATTATAGATAACCTTTATTCTACTTTTACGCTAGCTTATATTATAAAACATCAAACATGGCCTACTGACTGTGTTACAAACCATACCTTTCACATCACTGACCACTTTCATGGACTTCTTTACACTATCTGCGTTTTCCGGAAACTTCGATAGATTTTTGATGATCTTTCCTGCGTCTCGAAGGCCAGAATTTGTTCAGATCCAGTGCAGGTTGCCACTACAAACATTAACTCCGCATAAGGAACTTCTATGCTGATATCGTGCACTTTTCTAAGCCTTGATCTCGTACTTGAGGTCTCGAAGGATTTGTGTGGTCGTCCTTTTCCAGCTTTCGGTTCTGCTAATTTGCTTACAGTTTCACACCTACTCAGCCAAACCTTGTTATGCTCAAAGAACCGTTTTCTGTTTCGACAACTCTTTGTCCACAATCTTGCAAATTTAAGTGTGAACATGCGAATTTTCTTTTTTAATTCTGATGCATTGATTTTCCTGTCTTGGAACTTATTAACCACAAACTGGAATAGAGCTGCTGAGGAACGATTCTTTGTAAGCTGTTCTGCCAGATCACGGTTAGCGATTTTCAAACCTGTTGTTTTTTTGTTTTTCTTTTAATTTAACAGTTTATTAAGGAATTCCAGTAACTTACCGCCAGCCATAGCGATTTTCTTTCTAGGATTCATTCACATATAGTGCTTTCAAGTATCACTTAGAAAATTTGGAAAATATTTTTTTTGATCCCGTTCTTTCAAGTAACAAACACGTGCGATGTTTCCCTTTTTATACAGCAGGACGAACTAAAGTGACTGCTCATTGTGTTCTCTTTCTAGTACTCGTTTTAAGCAAGTCGCTAATCAAAGAAGGCTTTGCCGTTGCGTAGCGCACGTGTAATGAATCAATTTTGCTTGACGGTTTCAAAGATACCATACCTTGCTATTATCACTGCTTTATATGGACGCTAAGATTCAAATATACTGGGGTATGCTTTGGAATAATCTGTCAAAAACTCACCTAAAAATCACTTTGTTGAAGACACTTTTAGAACTTTTGATGGCGCACATTTTTGCCGGAGCAATTAAGGTACTATCTCTTTTGTTTGAAGAGCTATGGCAGTTTTTTGCATAAAAATATGACTTTTTTTTAAATTAAATTGCCCCTTTTAGAGATATTGACAATTGAAAAATGCCAGTTTTTTGAAGAAAATCGTCTTTAACTTTCCAATTAAAAAGATAGCAACTTGGTTGCTCGAGCCATTAAAAGTTCTCAAAGTATCTAGAACATTTGTTCTACAAGAAATGAACGTATGAAAAGATATTCATAGAAAACCAATATTTCAGGGGCCACCCTAACTTGCTTGTTTAAAAAAATCATAACTCATGAACCATAAGAGATGGAAGTTTGGTGGCTTGAGCAAAGGTGCCGTAAATTGATTGTTCTGCAACTTTTTAGAACATTGTACTGGTCTATCTCACATAATAAAAAAGTTCACATTTTCAATTCACCAATTTTATGGACCACCCTAATTTCACTAACATAAAAAAATTGGCCAAAAAATATGAAAAAACTTTCCGTAAGACACCATATGCCTAAAATCAACGGTTTTAGCGCAAACATGTCTTCCTAAATATGGCTTTGGGACCATTGTGCAGTGTTTAGTCCCAATTAGCTCTAATCCAATATGCTACGTGTATTCGTTAATGCCGGATCGACCGTACTATAGGAATCCGGCAAGAACGAATCCGTACTATAAGAATCTTGACTGTATGTAGAAGATAGTTCGTCGTGTACATACATGGCTAAAATTACGTCCCAACTGGAGCTAAAGCTTTTTTTCCTTGAGTTGTTTTCCGTCGATCTTGATTTCCGTGTTTCCACACTCAGGGTTTCCTTGTAGGTTTTGAGCACTCGACAAACTGGTGTTTTCGTCAGCACTTTAGCCAGCTTGAATCCGGACCACTCCGGATTTTCCAGGTGTTTGCGCACAATATTTTTTCTTCTTTCGAGTTCCATTTGACGTTATTTCTGAACGCGATCGACTACTTTGATCAAACTTGCACCAGTTGTTCTCTAAAGAAGTGTAAACAAACCACCGTCGAAGATTTTCGATTCCCAACACTAGAGGCGTGCTAGCGGCACGCCAGGGGAGTACCAATTTACTTTTAGTCAGCCTTTAGGTTGGGTATAGTGCACTGTCGTTGTTTGTAAGCAATCCAGCAATCAATATGAGTGTATTCAGAAGATGGATTTTTGAAATAGCATTAAAGTTTTGGTATTTGAAATTGACGTCTGTGTTAGGGATTTCGTTATCGGCACGTCTGCCTCTCTTCGCTCGTGTTCTTAGTCGGTGATGTGTACGTGGATTGATTTATATTGATCATACAATTGCAACTAATCAATTAATATTAAACAATTCTTGCATAACAATTGAAATCCATCGATAAATTACCAAGTTATAAGTTTAAATATTACGCTATCTCAATTTGCAAATTTACAATTTACACCCCAGAACATTTGACAAACACGCATTCTGACGACAAAAGGTCAACATGTCTCCGGCTGAAAATCTCCTAAATAGAGATGGGAACTAGGATGGGAATAATTTCTCATCCTGATTGACCGACAATCAAACTTGTAAAGTTCACGAGATGCTGTATGATGTATTATAATACCCAAATAAGGTTAAATCGGTTTCAATGTCACCTGACAGTTCAGACATTGAGAGCCAAGAATCCTCCAAGTCGATAGATTCTATAAGTGCTACGGAGAATCGCATACCTATGTACAAAGTATCTAATTGACACCTCACTCCTCAATTATATCGCTGTCATGAGGATGATCATGATTCAATAAATTCTGTCACTACGGACGTGAGCTGTATTCTCAGTAGTAGCGTGCGTGATGCATTCTTCGGAAAGCTGATTCCCATTCTGGGATTGTTAACAGTTTAGAATGAACCAATCAACGTTCGACTCCACGGACACATCACTAAAATCTCCCGAAGATGATCACTTCAAAGACCCACCGCGTGCTGCACAGTCAGTGGAGGGATACTTTTTGACCTTTAGCTTCTCAATCACTCTCATCGTGCGGATGGACCTGTACGCTTATAGGTAGTAGGTATATGGAAAACCGGATTCCGCATTTCAAACAACACATGCGCATCACACAGCCACAGGTCTACAAACAGAAAATTAACGATTCAACCTTATCGGTTCGAGAGAATCACGTTCTCCACGGCGACGACGATGTCAATAGGTAATGTAACGGCGGTGACAAATCAAGTCCCATCTCCGGTCAACTTCCAGTGACCCGCATCCATCGGTGGCTATCAGACTTGTGGACATACCTACTCAGTATTCCCACACACACACACACTTACACTTTGGTGGTTGGTTATTAAATATTCAAATTAGTTATTTATCTATCAATTGACAACGCGCATGACTGATTCATTTGCGGCTCCCCGAGGTGGGTGAAACCACATAATTCCCTGTTCTTTGCAGAACTTTTTCTACACGAGAACCTGTTTTTTTGATTTTCAACACAAACAACCAATATTGATCTTCTGGCAGATCCCAACCGGATTTCACGCATTCTCTATCTCTCTCTCTCAAGATTCTGTATGATAACTGACTCTCTGTGTCTCCCTTTTTTCATTCCACAGCATATGTCTAGTCACGCTGATCAGCATACAAAGTACAACACATGGAGCGGACCTGAAGGATCGGGCCCGTGCCGCCCTGCTGCTGGAGAGGTCAGCTTCCGGAAATGGAGTGAGTAATCAGTGCAAGACAACCGTAGCGCTGCCATGTCCACCGAGCAAGTTCCGGTCGGCATCGGGCGAGTGCAACAACTTCAACCACCGCTACTGGGGCGCCCGAGGGGACCCATTTCTGCGGCTGCTGGATCCGGACTATGCCGATGGTGAGCTCTGCAATTACAAAATTTCAGTTATTTTCGATCAATTCTGACTATTCAATACCCTCTTACAGGCCACATCAAACCGCGTACCTCGGTGGGTTCCCACGCCCTGCCAGCTCCGGACGCGATCATAGATCAGCTGCAGCGATCGATTCCCATTGGAGCAGTCCATCCGCACGTCACCGCCATGCTGCCGGCCTGGGGTCAACTGCTGGCCTACGATCTCGTCCAGATCCTGTCGCCACATTCCAGTTTCCGCTGCTGTCGGAATAACTCATCCATCGACACTACCGACGAAATTATCCAATGCTACGTCCGGACCGGAGATGGCTGCAAAGAGTACAAACGATCGATCGCTTCTAACGAACCGGGATCCTGCAAGTTCGACTACCGTAATCAGATGAATGCTGCGTCCGGATTGCTGGATGGTTCCGGCCTGTATGGAACTACGGAGAAGGAAATCCTAGCACTGAGGACATTCACCATTGGAAAGGTCGACATCAAGGCCTGCCTGAGATGTAACGAACCGGGAGCCATCGGAGCCCTGCATACGATCCTGCTGAAAGAACACAACCGAATTGCTGACGAAATGTCCAGACTGAACAAGGAATGGAGCGATACAACGCTGTTCTACGAAACGCGCCGGGCGATCATTGCCCAGATTCAACACATCACCTACAATGAATTCCTGCCAATCGTACTGGGAAGCCAGATCGCTAGCAGTCCAGATCTACGGTAAGTCTTCCTCATAGCACTGAAATTCTGCCCACATCTTCATTAACCCATTCTACTTTAAAGGATCGAGCACGGAAAACACTACAGCGGCTATTCGTCGTCCAACCGCGCGGGAGTATTCAACGAAGTCGCCGTTGGAGCAATCCCAGCCTTTCTAACCATGCTTCCACCGGACATGTACAACGAATCCGCATCGGCAGAAATCTTGATCTCCACTCCGTCCATGCAGCAGACCTTTATTCCCGATCATGCAACGTTCAACGACGAGTGGACACCAATCGCTTTGGCCCTGCAGCGTGGACGTGACCATGGAGTTCCATCCTACCATAAGGCGCTGAATTTGTGCGAGAAGCGCTTCGGAATCCCCTATGGATCCAAGCTAACGTTTGACGATATGGAATACTTTGGACTGTCGCCCGTCAAAAGGAAGACCCTGGAGAACATCTACCAGTGAGTTTAACGAGCGATCTCGTTCGGTTAGAACTGCTTCATGACGAATATCTCATTTTTAGGGACGCCGAAGACATCGATCTGCTGGTTGGTGGTCTGTCAGAAACTGCCACACTAGGAACCGTATTCGGCCCGACGTTGACCTGCCTGCTTGCCATCCAGTTCGCAAACCTTCGCAACAGCGATCGCTTCTGGTATGAAAACGATCTGCCACCGTCGTCGCTGAGCCTGCCACAGTTGCAAGCGATCCGCCGTGTGACCCTGTCCGGATTGCTCTGTGAAGCGAAGGGAGTATCCAAGGCTCAACCGAAGGCATTCATCCGTGAGGATCCCTACCTAAATGCTCGTCTGAACTGTGAACAGATCGCCGGCATGGATGTTACTCCGTGGCGTGCGGAAGTAGAAGAAGAGGTCGACGAAGACCTGGACGAACAAACCCCACCGCCACCGGAACTGGCCGAGTTGGACCTTGACGTGATCGAGCAGGCGATCGTCAAGGCAAAGGACAAGCTGAACGAAAGGAAGCGCTTCGAGTACGAATCCTGGGTCAATCGTAAGTAGATGAAGACTGGGAAATTCGTTAGATTTCGTTTTAAACTTCGTATTGTGATTGCAGAGGGAGGAATCGATGCCAAGTCTCCGGCTGGAACTGCCGCTTCTTTCAGTAAGGCCAACAAGAATGCGCTGATCATTGCCAATACTTCGCTGCTGTACGAGTTGGCTTCCAACGAAATTTTGAGCACATTGCATTCGTAAGTTTGTTTTGCATTTCGGCCAGTACCGATACCCTTCTAATGGCATTGGTGTATTCTAGGCTTCGGCGTCGTAAGCGTCAGGTCTTCGACAACAACCTGGGAGCCGCGTTCGGAGGAGACGACTTCAGCAACGCCCTGCAGACCATCGACGTCAACCAGTTCATTACGGGATCCATCTCTCCGATCAATCTGGAGCCACAGTGCGAGAACCTGGAAGCTCCTTGCGATACAACTACTCCATTCCGAACCCTAACCGGTCATTGCAACAATCTCCGCAGCCCCGAACTTGGCCAGTCGTTAACCACATTCGCCCGTCTATTGCCGGCAGTTTACGATGACGGAATCTCGCAACCACGTAGCATCACAATCTCCGGAAACCCTCTACCAAACCCACGCACAGTTTCGTCCCTGATTCATCCGGACATTTCAAACCTTCACACACGCTACTCACTCATGGTAATGCAGTACGCTCAATTCCTTGATCACGATCTCACCATGACGCCGATCCACAAAGGTTTCCACGAATCCATCCCGAGCTGCCGTTCGTGCGATTCGTCACGTACCGTTCATCCCGAATGCCACCCGTTCCCGGTGCCACCACGCGATCACTACTATCCGGAGCTGAACGTCACCAGTGGAGAACGCCTTTGCTTCCCATTCATGCGATCGCTGCCGGGACAGCAAACGCTGGGACCACGCGAACAAATCAATCAGAACACTGCATTCCTGGACGCTTCGCAGATCTACGGAGAGAACGGTTGCGTCGGCAAAGGACTTCGCGGATTCTCCGGTCGTCTGAACTCTACGATCCATCCCATCCGAGGAAAGGAACTGCTGCCACAGACTCCGATTCATCCAGAGTGCAAATCCGCTAGTGGATACTGCTTTGCTGCCGGAGACGCCCGAGCATCCGAACAACCAGGTCTCACCACTATTCACACGGTTTTCATGCGCGAACACAATCGCATCGTCGAAGGACTCCGTGGAGTCAACCCACACTGGAATGGCGATCAGCTGTACGAGCACGCCCGCCGAATCATCATTGCCCAGAATCAGCACATCACCTACAACGAGTTCCTTCCACGTATTCTCAGCTGGAACGCAGTCAATCTGTATGGCTTGAAACTGCTCCCGCAAGGATACTACAAGGACTATAACCCCACGTGTAACCCAGCGATCGTCACCGAATTTGCATCGGCTGCCTTCCGCATTGGTCACTCGCTACTACGTCCACACATTCCTCGCCTTAGCGCACAGCACCAGCCGATCGATCCACCAATTCTGCTGAGGGACGGGTTCTTCAAGATGGACATTTTCCTTCAACAGGTAGGCCTTATCGACGAGATCTCCCGCGGTCTGGTAGCTACTCCGATGGAAACTCTCGATCAGTTCATCACCGGTGAAGTTACCAACCATCTGTTCGAAGATCGCCGCATTCCATTCTCCGGAGTCGATCTGATTGCGTTGAACGTCCAGCGAGCTCGTGATCATGGAATCCCATCCTACAACAATTACCGTGCCCTGTGCAATCTGAAACGGGCACAGAACTGGGACGACCTGGCCCGCGAAATTCCTCCAGAGGTGATCTCCCGACTGAAGCGCATCTACAACAACGTAGACGATATCGATCTGTTCCCAGGTGGCATGTCCGAACGGCCGCTGCAAGGTGGGCTTGTTGGTCCAACCTTCGCCTGTATCATTGCCATCCAGTTCCGGCAGGTGCGCAAGTGTGATCGCTTCTGGTGAGTGTACCTACCCATCCATCGAGCAATAGAGTGAACTAAACTTTTCTGATCTACAGGTATGAAAACGACGACCCGACGGTCAAGTTCACCGAGGCTCAACTGGCAGAGCTGCGCAAGACTACGCTGTCGAGGATCATTTGCGAAAATCTGGACATCCAGAGTGATATGCAGCGAGCCGCTTTTGATCTGCCAAGTAACTTCCTGTAAGTTTTTTATGCTGAGAGATTGCTGTTCAAGGGTCAATTCTAACCCGTTGTTTAAACATTTCAGCAATCCACGTGTCCCGTGCAGTTCAATGCAACAAATCGATCTCAGTGCCTGGCGGGAGAATGTAGTTGCAGGTTGTCACATCGGCGGCAAGCATGTCGACATTGGCGAATCGGCCTTCCCTTCGCCATGCACCAGCTGTATCTGTACAAACGAAGGCGTAAGTCCCAACCTAACCTTACATCGACCAAGTCTTAACATAAGCTCTTTTTTTATCGCAGCCTCAATGTGCCTCACTTCGCATCACCGACTGCGCTCAGCTATCGCGCGAGTGGCCTCGGGATGTGATCCTCCGTGATGACGTTTGCAGTGCTCAGTGTGGTCTGGTTCTGCAGAACAGCGCTCCCCAGGGTCGTCAACTTCCGATCAACCTGCGACCGCCAACTTCGCAGCGAGTTTCCCGCTCACGTGTCGTCCAACGGCAGACGGCAGTGCCGGTCAGCTTCCAGGGCTTCCAATTCCCCGATCTGACGCAGTTCATCGGGTAAACTACCACAGTTACCATAACCCCTCTCCCATCTCAACTCTAACTGGAACTAATTACATTATTGTTGTTTGTAAATATTGAGCGGCCATATTACTACCACTTTTTCTGTACTATTCTCAAATGCTGATGAATCAACCAACTGCCCTTTAGTATGATTCTTTTAAATTAATATTACACTCCTATGCGAATGCGTTTCGCTTCGAGGACGTCTTTAGACCGTAATCGTAATGTTGTTTTATTGTAAATATTAGATTAGTATAAGAAATCAAAAAGCAAACTGTCTTCGCATTGCTTTTTCTCATTTCTTCCGTATTTAATTCTATTCAAACTGTGTTTAAGTAAAACAAAAATCCAACTACGTTATAGAATAAGTCTACGTACTATTTTAGTTGTAGCAAATCATAATCTCACAAGAAGATGGAAACACACGAAAGGGAGAGAAAAAAAAACCATCGTGAAACAATTAGTGATAAAAATTAAAAACCTTAAACTGGGAGGACCACCCCGTCGTAGCTCGTAAGCTCGTATCCACTCAAACTGATCCGGATAGTATAAATGATAAAGTCTGCGTACAAATTAAGCGACCTCAAAATGACGATACACGTTTAGAATGCACTACGATTGGTGGATTAGATTTGTGCTGTTGCTTTTTATAGGAAATCAAGAAGAAGAAGAAGAAGAACCTTTATTTGTATATGTGACTTTACACTGGTAGTCGTGTTTTGTGCTAGGAATGAAACCAATTTTAAATAAAGTGTATTTATGATTTAAACTGAAAAGTTTTTTTTTTTCAATTCAATTGGGAAATCTTGAGGCTTATTCTGCGCCGCAAGTGAGGTGAGGTGACTCGTTGTCGCTAGTGTGGTCACAGCAGACATTGAAAGCAGAATAAAAGCACAGAACAGAAGGAGAAGTGCAAACAAATCGGTGAATCAAAAAGTGTTCGTTTTTCTGCTCAACAAGCGATGTGTTGTGGTCAGGGCTCTACAATTTCGAAGCTCTAAAATGAACTCGTGTTTTGTTTCTCTCATACATACGTGTTCGACGCTTCATTTCTATAACGCCTAGCTAGACTATCAGCAAGTAATGAAAATAAAAAACTAGGACGCCTAGAAGGAAAGGCTGGATGTAGAACTTCTCGTCGTTGCTTTGCTCATCGCTTTCAATGTAACTAACGTCGATTTTCTAGTTAAACGAACCTCATTATGGCTTTCAATCCCCTTTCACGAACACTCTATCACCGCTCTTTCAATTTGTTTAAAATGCGTTATGTCCCGTTTTTGATCATTTTTTTTAGATAAATATATGGATGGAAGATAAATTAAAAATATTACGTGTAATCTTCACGTGTTTTCACGTGAGAAATGCTTTAAATGTGTTATTTCATTTTCCGTCATATACGTCATGAATCCTCTGTTGATGTGTTTCATGAAAGAGAAAACTCCGGAGTGATTTGAGATTTGGGCGTAATTGCTTTTGTAAACAAACGCGTCAATTACTTATTTCTCTTGAATAAAAGTTCAATCTCACAAACAAACTAAACCAAATGATAGAGGAATCATTTCTCTACCTCATGGTGTTATTACTTTTCGAGATTGAGCTTTTATTCGCGAGAAATCGGTGATTGACGTGTTTGTTTACAAATGCAATTACGCCCAAATCTCAAATCACTCCGGAACTATCAAAGTCGAGCGCTCTTTCGCTCATCCGTTTCACCGAAGCTTGAAAGGAAGACCAATGGAGCGACGGGAGAAAGAGAGACAAGCGATTGAACATTTGTTTGCGCACGCCGACTGAGGTTCTAGAATGCTGCGAAGCTGTTCGACTTTAACAGAAAAAGAAAGCCAGCAGTCTCTTCGTCGCATCTATTTGGTCGATTGAAGCTGATATTGTGACGCCCTGGTTGTGGTAGCTTTCCATACGGGCTTTCTATGTGCACTCACACTATCATAGCATGCTGCCTATCTTAACTGCAGGCAGAAGATGCCTTCTACCGCTAGGTGCGCTAGTGTTCGCAAATGACAAGTGGATCCACTTTCTGATCCAAAGTTCCACTCCTGTGATAAAAGCTTATTCATGCAATAATATGCTTCTTCAGCTGAAAAAAGGCTTATTCAGCCTTTTATCAGCACAAATTGTTTGTTGGGGTGAAAATTGTCATTGGGGTATGTTTTACGGAGTAAAACTAAGGAGCGTGTTTCTCCTCTGAGTGACGACTACTGACTAACGTTTTTTTGTTTTTTGTGTGATACATAGCAAAGTGTGTGAGTGTGCGTGTATGGGTGTTGTGTGATTGATACATAGATGTTTGGTTTATGCACTGGGTGAAAATGTACTGCTGGAATCGGCATCGGTGTTACACGGTTGTGCAAACCGACACTCCTCCTCAACGATGCTAGTTCGACGTCTCGGGTGGATCCTTAACGCCGATGGCAGTTCTGTCTGTGCCTCTCCAGCTTGACTCGCTGTAGGGGCTTCGTCATTAGGTCCGCCTCCATGCGCTCGGTTGGCATGTAGCGAAGCTCGATGATACCTTGTTGATGCAGGTCCTTGGTGAAGGCGTACTTCGTGTCGATGTGCTTGGAACGCCTCTCCAGACGTACTGATTCCACGATCTTCATGCAAGACTGGTTGTCCTCCCAGACGACGATGGGATTTACTTGAGTCTGCTGCAAGTCCTTGAGAAGTTTCGGGAACCACATGAGCTGCTGATATCCGTACGCCAGTGCGACGAATTCGGCCTCCGTCGAGGACAAGGAGACACACGATTGCTTTCTTGTGCCCCAGTCGACAAGACCGCCACCGAAGTTCAGCAGCAAACCGGAATGAGACTTTCTGTCGCCTTCGTCGCCGGCCCAGTGGGCGTCCACGTAGCATTCCACTTCGTCGGATCCGGAACCCAAGTGCAGACGATGGTCGTTCGTAGCCTTGAGGTATCGGAGGACTCTCTTGGCTTCGGTCCAATCGCGGTTGGTGGGATTGGTGACCTTCCTTCCCAGCAGTGAAACGGCCACGCAGATGTCTGGCCGAGTGTTGACCGCGACGTAGAGCAAACTGCCCACCAAACTGCGATACGACGTGTTTGTAGGCAATTCACACTCCTCCTTTTGCTTGAGGTATCCGGGGTCAATCGGCACCTTCGATGGCTTTGCTTGATCGTGACCGAATCGTCGAATCAGCTTGTCGATGTAGCTTGCTTGATCGAGAGTGTATGCCTCCCCATTCTTCTCCTCATGAATCCTCAGGAAGTATTTGAGTTCGCCAAGGCAGGAAAGCTTGAATTGCTGCTGCAGCTGTCGACGAATCTGCTCGAACTCCTCCTCCGAGTTGCAAACGGCGACCATATCGTCGACGTATATGAGTATGTATGTCTGCTTCCCGTCGCGATTCCGGATGTACAGGCACGCGTCGGCGTCCGCATGTTGGAAACCCATGGACTTGAAAACTCCGTCGATTTTCCTGTTCCATGCTCGAGCGGACTGCTTGAGCCCGTAAATGCTGCGCTTGAGGTGGCACACCATGCCGTCGTTACGATCGAAGCCGGGGGGTTGCTTCATGTACGCGTCCTCTTGGAGCTCCGCGTACAGGTAGGCATTCTTCACCAACATCTAGGTGCTTCACCAACATCTTCTGCTTGCTGGCGAGTACGAGGACCGTTCGTAGGGTAGTCTGACGTACGACGGGGGCAAAAACCTCGTCGTAGTCCTGGCCGAATTTCTGTGCGAAGCCTTGCGCGACTAATCTCGCCTTGTGTCGCACCACTCGTCCGTGTTCATCCTCCTTCTTCTTGAACGTCCATTTGCAGCCTACCGCCTTGCGACCCGGGGGTAGTGAGACGAGCTCCCAAGTGCCGTTTTCTTGAAGTGCTTCGATCTCCTCCTGCATCGCGGCTTGCCACGCGGCCGCTTCGGTGCTTTCGATAGGTTCGGAGTAGCTTTGGGGTTCTTCGCTTGCATGCTTCGTTACGCTGGTGACATCATCGAAACGCCTCTCGTTGAGCGTGCCGATCGCCGTGGTGCGTTCGCTTCCGTGCTGGCTTCTTCTCCGAGTAGGGGATCTTCATCGCTGAAACCGAGGAACTCTTCGTCGGATTCGATCTCATCTTCGACCGCCGAATCGTAATCTTCCTCCGCTTCCTGCTGATCTTCTGGTACGGCCGGACTTCGTTGTGGAAAGAGATCGAATTCCACGTTTTCACCGTTGGTGGTAGTCGATTCATCCGTTGGAATGGTGTCCGCACCATTCTCGATGAACTTGACGTCCCGGCTCACGTAAACCTTTCGCGTTGCCTTGTCAAGAAAGCGATAAGCTTTATGCTCCGACGAATAGCCAACGAAAGTCAGCTTTTGTGCGGTGGCGTCCAGCTTCTTCCTCTTCACTTTCGGAATGTGAACCCGCGCAGCGCAGCCGAATATTTTCAGGTGATCGACCTTGGGTTTCACGCCGTTCCAAACCTCGTAAGGCGTGACGTCGAGGGGTTTTGTTGGCAAAACGTTCTGGAGGTATACGGCCATGTTTAGCACCTCTGCCCAATACCGCTCTTCCAGCTGTGCATCGAACAGCATGCAGCGTACCATTTCGATGATGGAACGGTTCTTCCGTTCCGCGATCCCATTTTGCTGCGGGCTGTAGCCGGCGGTGTGGGCTGTGATCCCTTCACGCTTGTAGAAGGAACGCAGCTGCTTTCCGCTGTACTCCCCGCTCTGATCAGAGCGGATGACTTTTGGCTTCCGGCCGAAATGTGTTTTGGCGAACGCAACATACTCCTCGATCCTTGCGGCGACCTCTGACTTCTCCTTCAGCAGGTAGAGCACACAATAGCGACTGTTGTCATCGATCATGGTCATAAAATAGCGATAACCGCTATTCGACGACACCTCCACCGGACCGCAAACGTCCGTGTGCACCAGGTCCATTGGTGCTTTTGATCTAGAATGAGACTCACTCGGAAAAGGGGTACGTGGTGTCTTACCTTTCAAGCAGCACTCGCATTTTTCGTCGACGCTGCACCGGTGGAGCGTCAGACCGTCCACTAGTTCGTCCTTCACCAAATGGTCGATCGCTTTCGGGTCCCGGTGGCCGAACCAGTGATGCCAAAAGTGCTGGCAATCCTTGTTGTGGCGGCCTTGCCACCATCACGGTATCCGACGGTTGCTTGATTTGATACAGGCCTTCCTTCAAATGTGCCACAGCGACGACAGCATCCCCTCGCAGAATACGACAACCAGCCGCATCGAAAACAACCGTGGCTTGCTTCTGGATGAGTGCCGGCACGGGCAGCAGGTTCATCGATAGGCTGGGAGTGTACAGCGCAAAGCTTAGGCTCACTTCACGACGAAAACCGTGTTCATCAACGCACTTGACGACGCAGGAACCTTCACCGGCGACATTCGCTTGCTTCCCGTCCGCCAAATTGACGAACTTAACCTCACTTTCACGCAGCTCTCGGAAAAAGGTTTGATCAGCGACGGTGTGTCGCGTCGCACCGGAATAAACAATCCACGGTTTGGTACTGCTATTTCCCGTTGTTCCTCCTGCAGCCAGCGCGAAAGAAACGGATTCCTTCCTCTTGTTGGCCTTCTCTTGAGGTTTGGATCCCTTCTCCGAATCGCGGGCCAGTTTCCGGCATTCGTTTTGTTTGTGCCCCTCCCGCTTGCAGTAGTGGCACACGATCGACTTCTTCTTGCTACCG